CATTATTTGTAGGACGAATGTATTAGGTCAATGACAATAAGTATTGAACACTTACTTAAAAAAAAATCTATCACCTGAAAAAAAAACGAAATTAATAATGTTTTTTGATGTATTAAGTTTACTATATGTCTTTGACTTTTATTTCGATGGCTTAATATGAAATGGACTTTTAAAATCAAAATATATGTTGGTTAAAACTAATCGTAACGTGTGGCAGAGTATTCTCACGGAAAGCTTAGTACAAATATTTTTTTCATATTATTCAAGGTTATATAAAGTAAATGTTAAATGCGGTAAATGTGGTGTTAATATAAGGCTTAGTTTGACGGTTGTCGTGTTATTATTATAGGTTTAATCAAGCCCTGAATCTGGCTTTGAATTACGAATGTCCGTGACCTCTACGCGGTCACAGTCGAGGGTAGCTCGGGGTTGTGCCGGGGAGAGGGTCGGTCGCGCTCGCTGCTCAACATCGATATTGTTGCCATACCTACTACTCAATTTAATATTCAGTAAATGTAAAATGCATTCGAATTAAATTGTATCGTTTACCTAATTATTGCGTTCCAATTGTTAAAACTGATTCCGCAATTAACCTTACAAATAATAACCTACAAAACAAACATTTACTATTTTTTGTTTTATTTATTCACTTGACTTCCGTAGTTTATTGACAGATTATTATATGTGTGGGCAGATGATCGAATAACGTCATTTAAGTATAAAAAACTGTTGGGGTAATTCCGCTTTTTAAGGATTTCTTGTTTGATTTTATCAGAGTTTTGTATAGAACACTTCGATGAGTGAACAAGCGAAGTGTGCGGTCATAAAAGGAGTTAATTGCTTGTTATGAAACAGTTTAAGCATAGCAAACGTTGCGAATGACGCGCCGCGACCTCTAGCAAGGTTGCTGGTAGACACTTCCCTGTGTATTCAATCGCTTATAGCACTGCTTGTACGAGATATATTTGCACTGTTTATGTTACACCGTATCATACCACGTATGCGGAAGTTATACGGAAATGTATTCGCAAATTTCCGTTTATACATCAAAAAGCCTCGTAATAGCTGTTCTGGTTATATTATTTAAGATTTTGTGCTCTAAAATGAGTGATACGCACCCTAAATATAACTTCCCTACTAGATTTGCGATGTATTAAAAGAGGGCTATCTTAAGGGTGGATGTAAAGACAAGTGCGCATGCGTAGAGCAATAGAGTATGGAAAAATCGGAACCAGTTACTTCACCTATCTGCGAACCCCTTTGAGGAACGGACAATCTTATATTTTCTTAAATTTATTGATTCTTTTAAGATTTTAATATGTTTTTGTTTGTAATAAATTAATGTTAAAATGCATTATCTGTGAAATTTCATAAAAAAGCAACGAAACACAAAAAACAGTTAATGATTTGTAGAGCTTGAAAAGACTATAGAAATTACGTTAAAGTAAATTTGAAATAACTCTTGCGAAGGAATAAATCGGTAGTTTATTCTAAACAATTTCCCTTTAGTAAACTGTGAACATGTCGTAAATAAAATAATTGTTAGATTAAAAAATCTCCGCTAATTATTGACACGTGACTTTCGATTTTAATTGACCGCTCCTTTATCACTATCGAAATGTCCTACTAATATCGGACGATTTACTTTTAGATAATTGATATGTCAATGACAACTTTGTATTCCTAATAATACATTTTAAATAAGGATTATTTGTTTAAGAATTTTTAGATAAGAAATCGATAAATGTTGACATAATAAAGAGACGTTTCTGAATTTCGTATCTTTTTTATAAGTATCGATAAATAATTATGATTTTTTTTGGGAGATTAAACAGTAATCCAATTTGTTAATACATACTAGTATTTTACAGTATAGTTTTCATTAATTTCATTATTTTATTTCATTTACATTTGTGTTTCATTCTTAACTTTTTCATAAACGTAATAATCTTAAATTCTGTAATCGTTTATTGAAAAACGTATCCGATTTATTAAAAATTCGACGCGTAAATTCATTGGTGGTATTATAGTTGTACTATCTTAATATATTTAGATATATATCGCGTAATATATGAATATCAGCAGGAAGTAATTTGCTCTTACAGAAGGTTAAAGTGATAACGCGGTGTAGTCGACAGTTGACTTGGCGTATAAGCGGATTAATCTATACTCACAATGTACATTATTACGCCATCGATAAATAAGTAAAAGCTTTTATGATAAAATATAACCTAGAAACTAATTTTTGATTGTACCATGTATATTTCGGAGAAGAATATTAAGAGTCCGTTCACACTTTTGATTAAAATATCGCGTAACTGTTTAATCTTGCTTTGATTCCTATGATTGAATTGACTGCGAAACAAACGACAAACAACGCAGTTGTGCGATAGTTTAGTGAAAAGTGTCCGCCCGCTCTAACGGATGAGTTTTCAAAGTTGGTCAAATAGTTTATGCGACAAGAGGTCAATTTGTCACGGTCAGAGTATTTTTTTTACTTTATCCGTGTCGTAATGTTTCAGATAAAATATCTAAGACAAGGAAACTGGGCTAGCTCCTCAAATGTGAAAGCATGTACCTTTGCTTCGATATTATTCGTTATATTTGCTTGAAACCCGTTCCCGTTTGGCATCATTAGAAGAAGATTAAAAAGTGATTCCTCCTCTAAGCTGGGTATTACCATAGAGTGGCCGGAGGTTTGTTTATTTTTGTTACAAAGGTCGAGTTAAAACTGTTTATGATCGTGACGACAATTTCCCGACATGATAGTTTGTTTGGCACATTTATCCCCTTTCTCATATTCGTCAGCAATTATAACTACAATAAAATGAATCAGGATTATTATTGTAAGACTGTAAATTCGTGCATTGGCATTAATAAAAAAAAATGACAATCGATTTTTGTCCTATGCAAATTAAAGTCAATTGATTTTATTCGCAGTTATTATTAAGGAAGACAAATGCTAATGTGGACCAGTGGTCACTTCGCTAATTTATCGAAGTCGGGTGGCAGTTTGCAACTTTCTACTTAAAAAAGGTAAACTTGTATTGTTGCAAATATATCTAACGCTTAAATTTGTAACACTCAAACCTGTTTATTTGCATTGTTATGGTAGCAGTTAAAATGTAGGCGTGCCGTTGTTCTGGTGATATATCAACGTTATCACGTGAGTCAGATGGTTCAGTGAGGAACGTGACCTGAGCTCTGCAATCGGGGTGCAAGGGGTCGCGCGCACCTGCGCCCGCGCCGCTGACATTGCCAGATAAGATAGTGCTATTATTTTGTCACTGTTGTCGGTCCAATGTCACAGTGACCTTAATGACATCGAATGACGCGCCGTCATAAGCGTTCGTCGTACTGACCTTGTGATATTTATCTAATCTACAATGCGCGAAAAAATTGTTAGCACGTTTATATTTTCGTATGTACACGATATCGGGTTTGACTTGTAATGTGAGGAAAACTTTGTTTTTTATTTACACCGCTAATAGAAACTAAGAATCAGTGTTTTTTATTACACTGTTTATAATATAAAGATCTCATGAATTTGTTGACTGATATTTTTAGTTTTTTTCTTTAATAGATTCTAATGAGATAAACAGTAAATTACAAAACGTATTGACAATTTTTCTTTGTATCATGATTAAATAAAGTTCATAATCGTTGAAGACGTCGTGAAATTGTCTTCAAGTTTTATCTCTTTCATATATCAATTCTTTTATTCTACCATTTCTTTTAATTACCATCATCATTATGTTTGTATTTCAAAATAAATTGGCAGATATGGTGTTTTCCAAACTGTGCCATTTTTGTAGCCATTGCTACATAGACGACTCTTACCATTTTATAAAACGCTCTGTGCAGGATACTGGCACGTGAGCCTCTGATTGATAGACAATAAAATAATTGATTTGGGAATAGAGATAGAATCGTAGTTATAAGAAAGTTATATTGGTAACTAGAAATACGTAGAAGCTGATATGTTGCTGGTCTTTCAATATTTCGGTTGCAAAGAGGTTTAAAAAAAGTTGTAAAAAAGTGAAATAGTAATAATTTCTAATATCGGTAAATATCAGTCCATCTTTTTTTATAGTGGTTGGCGGCGAATTGCGGTATTCGCCAAAATAGCGAAGTGCTGCCCATAGATATGCCGATGCGACCTACCTTTAATCGATAAAGGATCTGTGTCAAATTAAATCAATTCTACATGGATACATAAGTTTACAATTTGTATATGTATAGATAATCTTTTACGTAATATACACAGATTGCATGTTGATGTTTTTTTTGCTCGGTATTATTTACGTTGATACAGACTATGTTTACATTTGTAGACAACCAATGACCTAACATCGATAACCGGGCACATACAGTTATTTAGCTTTAAACATTATATTAATTTATTAAGTCTAAATTAGAATAAGGATTAATACGTATCATTGACAAGATAAAACTACTAAAACTTTATAAAACATTGTTTTAGTGTGTGTAATATTTGTTTACATTAAAATTTAATAATGGGCCTGAGATCGGAGTAATTTGTATCGTTAGTTAACAAATACGACCTTGATGAGGCGTCGCCATCACCCGGAAATTGCTATGTAACTATAAACGCTGTTACAATTTTCCGAAGCAGGAAGTATAAATCCACGACGGCCAAGGTGAAGTAAAATTGTATTCAATCACCACACCGCGCTATAATTATGACAAACGCATCGCGAAGGTCATCGCACCGCACTCACATACCATGCAAAATTGTAACAGACGACATGGACTCTTATAAGTTGTCAACTTTAGAAAATACCGTTTTTAAATCAGTTAATCATACATTTCTATTTAATTTTTTATGTTGGTAAATATTGTAAACAATTATTTTATAACCACACTTTATTTACCGATATACCTTATGTCAACACAAAAAATACATGAAGGCGTTGCAAGAGCCAAGTTTTAATTGTTTTTAAAGAATACCATAAATTCAAAAAACAAATAAGACTTACCTAAATCTGGAATGGAGCTGGTGGGCTCCTCGAAGGGAGGGGGTTTGTGTAGGCGTGGAGCAGGAGGCGGCGGAGGACGCATGCACTGGATGACGGAGTGCGGCGCCGGCGCTTGCAGCAGCACTGGTGCCCGGAACTCCTTGCCTGGTGGAGCCGGCAGCTCTAGACGCTCCATCCGCCTCGCGTTTACCAGCTCAGCCTCGTACGCCATCTCGCCGGCCTCGCGCTTCGGAGACATTTTCGGGTAACACTGCATATTTATATACCAAGTCTCTATCTTAACAAATGTTCAAACACTTAAGTCAATTTACAAATCGCGCATTAAAAGTACATTTCGGTGTAACGCGGCGCAAAGAGTGGCGGGACGTAGTCGAAGCGCGTGTTTCAGTGCGGCGCGCGCCGCTCCACTCGCGGACCGTTCGCTCGCCGCGGCCAACTTTCTCTCACTGGCGTGGCGGAGGCCGCGGGCGGACGAAAGTGAATCTGCAGCGCCGCCGCCCCCGCCGCGCACCCCATGCCCCCCGCCCGCCCGCGCGTCGCAGGTAGTGCACCGCCGCCGCCCGCCCAGACGACACCGCTGCCTGCACCCGACCCTCGATTTTAACCTTACCCTATGACCTCTGGAGTGCAATGATTCTACAGTACCTGGATTTAAAATTTCAGCCATTTCAACTGTAGTTCACGAAAAAATCTTTTTTTTACCTCTAAAAGTTTTTTGATTCAATTAGTTACATATTTCCTACGTGACAAAAGGGCCTTGAAAAATGTCGTCCTTAGTCAAATTGGTTAGTTCTTGATAAAGGTTTAATGTAATTTGTATTGCGTGACTTAACTACTAGGTAACGGAATATTATAACTATATCTTAGCACTAAACGAATTTATTTGAGAATTAACCTAACTTCTAGGTTTAATTGGTATTCGTGTTTAAGTTTAGGTCAAGTTCCACGTTCTTTTACTTCACCTTGAATAATTTAAACATTATTCTGTAACAGTTGACCGTGCAAACGTAATAGTGAGAATATGATGAGTGTGCAGTATTGCGTAACCTTCACACAGTTCCCGGTCTTCCGCTGTTAGTGCGCATTAAATCACGGACTGCGTGCGCTCCGCTAAGTTCCGAAAACATCGCACGCACTTACGTGACAATATCTATGGCATACCTACCCACATTATAATAATAAACCTTTTCATTGAATCTAAGTTAGCCAAGAAATAACTAAAACGATAAGTTTTAAATGGTATTAGTAGATATGCGAAAGAAAATATATTAACTATGCAAAATTAATAATAAGTTGCCATATTAGAAAAGTAATTAATGTATTAATACCTGAAACATACTTAAATGTTATCAATTGCGAAAACTATATCAAAACAACCCTCTCAAAGTCGGTCAATGTTAATGTCGGTATATCGCCTTGTAAAAAGGCTTATCACTTCCGTGAGACATCGATAGGTGGCGTGCAATCGATTGTCCGTGGGCTTCGGCGTCGGGGCACGCGCGTCGATACCCGCCGATAACCATCTCACAGATAGCACACCTACTGCCACCCTATCTGCTCTGTGCCAAAGTTAACAACTGCTTCTAACAGGAGATAGTGCACGGAATGTTCACAACCAACACGTCTCATTGCACGGATTTTCTTTTTATTCTACGAATTCGAGACACATTTTAATCATTAATCGTACACGTATCTAGATTTATGATTCATATACCTGTCAATATTTATTAAGGTAAAGTTTTAATCTTTGGGTATGAGTTAATTATTGCTCTGATATTTGACATTCAAGTACTTTAAGTAATTTTATTCAAATTATTAATATGCGAACATATTAAAAGCTATGGGTGGTAATTTTTAAGTTGGCGGGTGCGAGTAGGAGGGGGTCGGCAGCGTACAGGGCGTGCGGGGCGTGAGAGGCGCGGGGCGGGCGGTGCAGTCGCAGGGTGCGCCGGGGTCACTGCCACTGCCATCGCACCGCCACCTCACGGCCGACCGCCGATCGCCGACCGTCTATTTTGGCGACAGACACCGATGAACCCGACTATGAACCCCTAACTTCAACCTAGATGAATTTCAAACAATGCTTCCAAGTAACCGACACCCTTTGTTCGACTGAACAGTGGTAATAGCTTTCTAAAGATTGGTTAAATTTTCTGCAAGCAACCATCAACTTCAAGATGTACTTTACGAAACCTACATAAAAATTAGTGTAAGATAATTTAAATTGTAAAAATAGCATGAATACTTTAAATTAATAATATAAAATTGTATTATAACAAATTTTCACATTAATAAGCTTTATGAATTAATACTTCTTTCGAAAAAAATCTCATCTGTAAGACTCTCAAAAACAATGACGAGTTTAATCTAGTTAATCTTTGGGTCAACAAACGTAATTAGTTATTTTGAGAGAAGCAAAACAAAGCGTGATATTCCGTCATCTAGTTACTTCTCATTTAGACTTTTTAACGCAAAGCACAAATATATGATTTTCAAATCTTTTGTAGCACGCCATAGTAATAACTACTTATCTAAAGTTATCTACTAAATAAGTGTACCCCATATTACAACCGTAACCCACAAGTAAGCCTTACTATCTCGTTTTTAAGGAGCGTGAGTAGGTGATTTGTGCCTTTCATTTATATTCATGATCTTAGTACTTCTATCTGCTATGTATGTGCCATTAGTAAAACATTCATCAGACTTCTTCCTAAAATCACAAAACGCATTGCGTAGCTATTGATATTCGTTTATAGCGGCCGTTCGGCAGTGAAAGTCGGATGGCGCGCCGAGGGCACCGGGACACGGCGGGCGCGACGGGAGCGGCAGGCGCGGCGACCGGCGAGGGTGCAAGGAGGCGGCGGAACGCATGCGCGCCTGCACGCTAATGCAGCAGGATACAGCACTCACTCACACCGAACATCGAAATACTGCAATCTATAATTTTTTTAATACCATAATGTGGCAAACAAGCAAGTGGCCAACTAAATCCACTAAAATGACGAAGCGACTGCTGACATACATCCGCAATTGCAGATGCGTTGCCTACTCTTAATCGACGGAGGATATTTGTCCTTCCTATGCATCTCTTCCACCGCCAAATCCACTTTACCTTCCCATCCTTTTCTTATAAGAAAAGGGTGGAAAGGGCAAGGAATTAAAATAAGGCCTTCGGCACGCATTCTCCACATTCAATTTTGTTCTTTGCTTAACAGAAAGATCTGATGTTATGCAAAAAACACCTTTAAAATCAGTACCAAATCCATGCTAAAAGAAATTTCCTCTTATCCTTTGTTATTGAAGAAGAATTATAAATAAAAAGAAATTCATTTTAGAATCAGCGGAATATTCTGTAGTCACGGTATTTTTTCTGTCAAACAAGTCTATTTATTCAACAGGTGCCATTGAAATATAACTTAGTTATATTTTAACTGTTTCTCCACCGTTCATAATTACGTCTTTTATGTTGTTTTTTGGCGATAACACTTTAATACATTTGTTATTATTTTAAATTGAAAAGACTGACGTAACGGATTTTATTTTGTTTTTTGATCTTTCAACTCTGGTCATTATGTGTTTGGTGGTAGACCTTGAAGTAGATGGAATGAATGTAAAAAGTAAATTGAATTTAAATATCTGATATCACATCCTTAATCATTTGATGAACGTATTCCTTGATTTAAGTAGCTATTATGTAGCTTTATAAAATACTTCATGTTTGGAGTTACATGATAAGTACTATTAGGTACTGCATAAAACAATAATGGTAGAATATGTTGCATAACGTTCGGTGTGAGTGCAGCCGCCCGCGCCGTCGCGACTCCAGCCGATCGATATGCACCGGCGAGACATTTATTTTCTTCCCCTGGATACAATATGAGTCTCCTGAACCAAGGATAAACGAAACCTTTTTGAAATATTTCGCTGTGTCACAACACAATTGTGTTATATCAAATAAAAGTTGCAATTAATGTTGTTTTAATTGTAATGTAGATTCCGTCTTTATAAATTCATTGTCAATAATACTGTTTAACATTGTAGTAAACATTGGCAATGAATAATTAAAAACAAACACGTAAAACGTAAATTTACATAGCAACCGGTTACATTCGTTGTTAAAATAATGATTAAAAAGAACCTAAGCATTAACATGCATTTTTTACTTCATAAATACTAGTTAGTACAACAAACTAACTACAATCGCTACAATATTTATGCGTATACTCGTAGTTACTAATCCAATGAGATTCGGATTAAACGACTGAAACGGTTTACTTAGAATCGCTTTGCTACCTTACCTTTTCAATTCTATTATTAAATTGTTAATGAGCCATGTCTGTACTTACGTTCATCGAACCCAAATACTCAGTCTACTTGAGTTCATTTGGAAGTTGCTTTGCTCGTTTCAAATTGAACTTATTGATTAGAAAAGTTCTAGACGTATTGTTTATATCTGTGAGTTTATTGCACTATAGCGTAGACGTTGATCTTAAGTACTAATTGGGAAAAGTCACACATAGATAAAGATGAAATATACATTTACAAGAATAAAAAATTAACCAATGGACAGTGATTTGACATTATTAATCTGCAGGCTGTAATTAGTCTCTGGCTTTTAAATGGTAATAAAACGATATTGCTTAAATGCGTCATGGTATTTTTACAATAGCGATGATCTAAGTGAGTTTAGTTGGTTTGTGAAAACAATAAGTAACAGCATGATCACGTTACCCTTACTTTAGTACTAAAGTATGTCTTAATTTACACTTATTGTACGATATTATTTGTTTCAATTGTATCATTTTGTTCATTTAATTATGTAGGTTAAAATAATATCATTGCATGGCAGTTGAATAATAAAACGGCCATACCGTAGAGTTCAATTTAACCGAAAATATAGTCCGCGAGTGTTTCGACCCCGCGGGCCTTGAAGACTGCAGTAGTGGAATGCCCTTGCAAGGGTATCTCAATGTCGGACTTTAGGTGCAAGTCGTCGCCCTCTTGCGCTGCGCTCCCTTGCCCTCCTCCCTCCTGCGGACCTCACCCCGCGCGCCTCCGCCCCGTATTCACAACACTTTTTCAAGAATGCAATTGTGTAAATAAACAATGGCGTCAACCGCAATCAATGAATTAAAATTATGCGTCTCTTGTGTTCAAAATAAAGAAAATACAATATAACTAATCGAAAACGTAAATAACAATGAAAAAAATATAATTATTTGGAATGTATGTATATGTTACTCCACGTTGTAAAACGTCGATTAAAAAAGATATTTGAGATACGTCAGCAAAAATTTAAAAAACATTCGAGTTTATTACGTAACATAACCAGATACATTAGTTGTTTTCATTGCATGTATTTTCATTTTTTCATCTATCGTGCGGTTGGAAAAGGTTTGAAAATAGGTGCTAACATCAGTGTTACCGTCAAAATATTTCCATCCCACGATGT